CTGAACCGACCTCTGTAAGAGTCCGATCTAGCTCTACTGGACCAGTCGGGCCCCAGGAAGACGAGACCTGCCGCCCACCATAATCCTTTCTTTTCCTTTTTCATTTCCCTCCTATTCCCCTTTCCTTTGCTGTTACTCTCCTTTTCTATTTCTTTCTATTATATGTCCTTCCTTTTCTAGTTTCTTTCTCATTATGATCCTTACCTATTCTACTTACTAATCCCTATTACATATATGGTGTTTGCTTAGGTTAGCCGGTCTTGATTTGTTTTTTGAGTTCAGAGTCCGCTGCCAGCATTCTTCCCTTTTCAGGGATGTATCTGACGACCAAAAGATACTCCGATTATAACTCGTAAGAGGTGGTGACTATCTCTGTTGTTCCTTCACTTTCTTGTTACCCTCAATTACCTCCTACGCCTCCCAGATTGCCACATCTCTTGCTTTGTTTCCATTAGGTCACATATGTAATGCCCAAATTTCGAGAAATCAAGTAAGTTCAACACATTTGAAAAGTATCCCAAAATTGTTCACTCGGAATTTGATCGAAATAATTTTTATTAAATTCTATGCAGGAAATTGATCAATTCCATATAAAGCACCATGCACGAATTTTAAACGGATTGAGAAATATAAAAGTTTGAAGCTATACATTTTATTAAATTAATTTAATCTTAGCTACTTTAAATTATATGATGGTTTATATGATCGTTGGGCAGGGTGACGACTGTTATAAGGTATTGTGCAACTGATAAAATGGATGCTATCAAAAGGTCATCCACCAGTACAGGGCCTAGATCTAAAACTGGGGCAGAAGTGGATCAACACTTCAATATATTTTAGTCTTTCAAGCCACCTGCATTCAAGGGTGCCGACAACCCTACAATTGTTGACGATTGCCTTCTAAAGATCGGAAAAAATATGGTTTTTATGATTTGTTCGGAAAATAGAAAAGTGGTACTAATTACTTTCATGTTAGAAGGCGAAGAAAAAAGGTGACGGTAGTCGCAACATAGAGAAAAATTTCAGCTGGCACCTATTCCACAAATTCGATGGGAAGAATTTGTTAAAGTCTTCATAGATTGGTATAGTCCACCTTCAACAAGATTAACAGTGCATCGATGAAGAGCGTAGTCCGTTGACCCCTCCTGCCCTTTTCTTGTAGCTGTCAAGCACTTCCAACATCTAATTGCCTGCCACAACCCTCCTTCAGTGCCTCTAGTGGCCATCAACTCCTTCCCGCACATCCCGTCGGGCCACTGACTCATGCCTGCACTCTCCAATAGGTCGTCAACTTGTTTCGACACTTCCCAACAAGCTGCCAACCACTTCATTATCCTCCCACAGGTTGCCCACCCCTCTGGGCACCTTCCGACAGACCATCAATCACTTCTGCTCCCTCTAGCAGCCCACAGATAACTGCAGTCCCCCATCCAGACCCCTTTAAGCAGCTACCTGCACCTGTTGTCCGACAACACCATAACCCCTACTGCGCCCACATTCTAGCAACCACCTGCACCTTCTGTTGCACTCCACCTTCCAGAAGAGTATGAGGAGTTACAATAATAGGTGCAGGATCTCATCGCAAGAGGGTTAGTGAGAGAGTGCACCAGCCCGTGTGCTGTCCCCGCATTTAATGGTGCCCAAGAATGACAAAAGATGGAGAATATGCATCGACAACAACGCCATCAATAAAATTACCATCAAGTGTCGGTTTCCCATACCTCGCCTGGATAATCTTTTGGACCGATTACACAGAGTCGCCATCTTTTCCAAGATCGACATACACAATGAATATCACTGGATACGAATGAGGCCAGGGGACAAGTGGAAAATCTCTTTCAAAACACGAGATTGGTTGTACGAGTGGACAATTATGCCATTTCGGTTTGTCGGATGCGCTTAGAACTTTTATGAGGTTGATCAACTAGGTGTTCCGACCTTTTTCCATATTGGGAAAATTGTGATAGTCTAATTTGATGACATCTTGACGTACAACCAATTTGAGGAGCATTTACAATACCTAAGGGCAGTGTTCAAGGTATTACGAGCAGAGCAACTATAAATCCATCCAAATAAGTGCTACTTCATTACATACAAGATAAGCTTTTTGGGTTATATCGGGGCTAATGTAGACATTTAGATGGATGCTATGAAGATCAAGGCTATTATATGCTGGATTGTAACACAATTGCTCATCGAGCTGAGACAGTTTTTGTGACTAGCATCGTTCTAGCGGAGATTCATCAGAAACTTCAACATTATCACCACTCTTCTGGCAGAACTTTAAAAGGGAAGGAGTTTATATGAACAACGGCCGCTTAGAATAACTTCGACACCTTGAAGGAGCAAGTGACTGAGGCGTCCATCCTAGGATTACTAAACTTCAACCAGCCATTCGAGGTAAAGTGTGACACATTTGGCGTGAGGATAGGGGCATTGCTGAGCTACAGAGGTCATCCCATTGCCTTTTTAGTGAAATGCTAATGAATCCATAAGGAAATACTCAACATACGACAAAGAATTTTATGCCATTGTACGAACTCTGAAGCACTAGAATTATTACTTGCTGATGAGCGAGTTCACGTTGTTTACGGATCACGAGGCCTTAAAATTTCTCAACAGTCAGAGCAAACTGAAGGGTTGACATGCCACATGAATGGAATTTCCAGCATCATTCCAATTCATACTTAAGCACAATTTGGGGAGCCAGAACCGCGTAGTAGATGAAATAAGTCGTCGCCACTTGTTGATCACAACATTGCTGGCATGAGTTGTGGGATTTGAGGTCATAAAGGATTTGTACAACACAAACAAGGACTTCAAGGAAATTTGGGAATAGTGTAAGGAGAAACCAACCCGACAATATTACTAAGCAGATAACTATTTATTCCACCAGAGTTAGTTGTGCATTTCAAGGTGCTTGCTGAGAGAGGCTATTATTTAGGAGATTCACGATGGAGGATTAACACGACATTTTGGCAGGGACAAGACTCTCGCTCTCGTGCGGGAGCATTTCTTTTGGCCCCGATTGACGAAAGATGTGGAGCAACATATCAAACTGTGTAGGATTTGCCATCTGGGAAAGTCGAGAGGGCAGAATGTAAGGTTTTACACTCCATTACCAGTACTCGAGGCACTGTGGGTAAATGTTAGTATGGACTTCGGGTTGGATCTCCCGAAGATGCAGAGGAACAATGATTTCATGATGGTTGTAGTGTATTGCTTCTCGAAGATGGCGCATTTTTGCCAGAGGACACTGAACGCATCTCATATTGTCGATTTATACTTTGGGGAAATCGTGATGTTATATGGGATTTTCAAGACTATTACCTCTGAAAAAAATATCAAATTTCTATGCCACTTCTGAAGGACTTTGTGGGTGAAGCTAGGCACCAAACTCCAATTTAGTTCAACAACTCATCTACAAACGAACGACTAGACAGAGGTAGTGAACAGGAGCCTAGGAAACCTCCTTAGATGTTGCTTGGGGAAGAGTATCAAGCAGTGGGATCTTATTGTAGCTCAAGCTGATTTCTCCTATAATAGATCTATGAGTTTGACTAGATGACACACACCGTTTGAGATTGTATACAGGCGCAATCCGCTTATACCACTTGAGTTGGTACCACTCTTGCCGATATCGGAGGTCAGCGAAGATGCTACAAGATTTAGAAACTTCACCAAGAGGTTGATAGGGAGATGCTAAGTAAAACCACAAATATCCGACACAAACAAATAAGTGTAGGAAGAAGGTGACATTCTAAGAAGGAAACCTCATGTGGATTTGGCTAGTAGGAGCATTCAGGAATACGGCGTTTCAACTTAAACCTAAAGCAATCCACCTTCCCGCAGCAACCCGAACCTGCTGCTTCATCCGCTTACAACACTTATCTCACCGTTGACGACTGCGGGTACTCTTCTTAGGTCGTAGTTGGATCGTGTTAGTCCTATCTTTATTTTCTTATTTTCTTTGTTATTTTGAGTCTTGATTGTATCCCTTGTTATTTATTTGCTTAATAATATTTTTTTTTGATCATCATCGGTTGAGTTAACTTTGGTATCAAAAGCTTCATATGATCAACTGATCTTACATTCACCTCAACTTCAATGTACTTTAATCAACTTATTCAACTACCCGAATGCATGGATACTGTGACATTTTTGAGCTTCACTACAAACATGATGTGGGTAAAAATTAAAAAAAAGATAAATGGGATGGAGAAATGTGATTTGCTCACTCTTTTTAAATTGTTAATGTACTATATGTTTATTAGACAGATATGACGTATTAGAAACAAGTCTATCTGGATATCTTGGACTTAATCTTATGGACAAAGCTTTGCTTGCAGGTGCTCCAGGCAATGATTCAAATGGGCGTGCTTGTTCCCACTGGTGACATGACAGCTGTTAGGCGGACAGCACAGTTCTTTCTTAACAGGTTCTTTTCTAAAAATATATGTATCCATCTGATTACATGATTGTGTTAAGCTTAGACTGCTTTCCATTGATGTAATTTTTTTTTTAATTCTGTAGTTTTGAAGAGCGACTTGCAGCACAAAGGAAAGAAAGAGAGCAGGCAACGGTTGAACTAGGATTCAAAAAACAATTGAGTAAAGAGGAAAGAATTCAAAAGAAGAAGCAGAGACTTGCTGCGATTGGTAAAGTGTTTGGAATCTCCTCCCTGCATAGATAAATGAAGCGGCTTTTACATACATACCACCCAATTCTCATATATTTAAATATCAAGCACCTAAATTTTTCTTTTTACATTCATAACTCTCAAATATTTCATGTCACGTGTCAAAAATATCACTATTCTAATTTTTTAAAACTCAAATACGCCTTTTTCATGTATAGGCAAGGTGATATATAGGTAAAAATTGAAGTTTATGTGTTAGATATGTAACTACACAAGACATAGGTGGTATGTATGCAAATCTTCCAAAAATGCATTCTGTATTTCGCACCTTGAATGATGTACATTGCTCCTGAAAATCATAGCTAAAATTTGGCAACCTGTGCTTATGTTTTTTTATCAACCATCTTGATCATGACAATTATAACTAAATGTTGCAGGGGAAGATCTTTTGTCAATTGCTGCTGATCAGCCCTTTCGTTTTCCGGCAACCTTCACATTTGTTGTCAGAGCATTTTCAGGTCAAGGGTTTTGGAATCCAATACATATCATTCTGCCGTTTTTTATTTTTATATTTTTTTACCTAAATTGGATAATCCTAATAATGCAGTGCTAGATGGGATTGGGAAGGGCCTTGACCCGAGATTTGACATAACAGAAATTGCTAAACCGTGAGTTTGAACTTAAAGTTTTTATATCTGAAGCAATTAACCTTCATTGTACAAGTGACTACCTTTTCTTTTTCTTTGTAGATCTGAATTTTGTTTTATTTATATATTGTACCAGTTATGCATTGGAATTGCTGAGGTTCCGGGATGTTGGTTTTGAGGTTATTGTCAAGGTAAGCTTCATTCTCCCTTTCATGATAAATTTGCATTATACATATATGGCAGGTTGTTTAATGTCTAAAAAGACCAAAGTTTTTGTTTCATAGGATCTTAGGAAAAGATGGGAAAGACAGTCTCGTGCATTTTACAACTTATTCAGACAGGCTGATAGAGTTGAAAAGCTTGCAGAAATAATTGAAAGATTGGTATCGTTTTTGAAATAAGCTCTATTTAAGTAGCATTTAAGAGTATTTTGTTACTTTTGATGAGAATAATCACTTGTTATGATGCATACATTTGGGTAACGTTTTTGACTTCTTGCAGGAGCAAGGGGATCTTAAACTTCGCGTACGAACCTTGGAATCAGAGCGAGCATTCGTAAGGGTTGTCACTGCTCAAAAGACTGTTGGGAATGTAAGTTCCAAATTTCAGAAATCAAAATTTTTTTTTCCATTTTTAAATCATTACATTACAAATTTTCTACCTATAAGTTTTTTTTCAATGATCCTCCACCAAACTTTTGCGCTATATTACAACCACCATTGAATGAACCTTAAACCCTTTTATCTACTCAGTTTTAGAGAAGTATAGCTCCACAACTTAACAATAAGATTCTATATATTTTTCCATTTCCATTAATAGAATGGAACACATTTAATCCCGTGCGGAAGTTCCCTTAGAAGCAAATTCAAGGAATCATAATACAGCTCAAAAGAGATTAATCAGACATAGAGATACTAGGATATATGTGATTTAGCTTCATTAAAGTCTTTTACAAGAAAGAAGAGAAGATCCAATCTACTAAATATAGAAGCCATTAAAGATATACTTATACAAATTCATTCACCAACCATTTTCAAAATCTGAGTACATCTTCCCAACTCCTAGCAGAAGAATCCCAAGAAATCCTCACAGATGTTTACCTCCACCATGATAGTGACCACCAAAATAATGGTATCCATAAAAACTATTGCCGCTCATTGACTCATTCACATTGAAATCCTTTAGTTACGACACTTTAATTTGAGAGTCGTCAACTCACGTAAACTGAGATATATAAATGATTGAGAACCAAGACATTCTATTTAAGCTTCTTGAAGAATCTCTTGGCGTGAAATTTGATGTTGACTTTCAAGTCGGGGCATTCATTGAAATTGAGGGTCATATGATCCACATGGAACAACACATCACTGTTATCAACCTCGTACCAATTTACAGCCATCAAATATGTGCAACATTTCTTCAGATCCGGTCTAATGCATGTTACTACAAACACAATGAGATTTGTCTGCCATAAATCTAGATGGGATCGAGTTTGTTTAGAGCGAGGCCAAGCATGGAACATAATTGGATCCCTAAAGTTAGACCTCTTATTCAAGTTGGATTGGGACGTTCTAATCTTACAATGAGGGGTTAAATTTGGAATATGAGTTCATGATGATGAAAGATAGATGGCTGAGGAGATGAAATCCCCAATTTAGCTGAAACGAGGCTCTGACAGAGTCCAGCTCATATAAACTTCACAGGATCATAGCCCTAATCTCAGTATTGACAATTAAAAATTTCCTGATTCTGCAGCCTGCCATCCTCTCTGATTAAACACAAAACCTCTTTAACTGTTTAAATTCTTTCCCAAATGTCTCTAAAAAGAAATCCTCTTGATGTGCTGGCCTGCAGTTGTATCTTCTCGATACAACTGTCACGACTCGATGCAACTCATAAAACTGTCACGACTTTACCCGATGTAACCTTTTATATCGAGACTAATCAACTTGTGTCGAGGTCACAATAATTAGATAATTATTCAAGATCTATTTGGAAGGAATTTATTTACTTATTTATTTCAATTTCCACAAATTCAGAGCCACTATTATTAAAATATCATAAGATATATTAAACATTTTTTCATATCTTATCATAACTGTACAACAAAAAGAATTACTCACCAATTATGAAAACCTCTTTCAATCGACAAAATATGAATCTCATAATGAATGTCAAAATTAGATTTAAGGAATTCGTCTTTAACTATCTAAATTCTTCTCCCAAATACCTCTAAAAAAATTCCTCTTGGTTTGCTGATAGCTATTCTCCCAAATGGCTGTCACTAGTGCAACTCTTTTGGGAATTAATTTCTGTTAGCATTGTGACCTGATACACGACACCCAACATTCCTCTTGATTGGAATCTAGGAATCTACCATGGGGGTTGAGGGGGTGGTGGTGGCGTCCTAGCGCTCTTGTTCAGAGGACTGGGTGCCCCGCACCCCAAAATAGCGCCCAAATGCTAGGTAGGGTGCACAGGCACAGGGCCGAGGTCTCGTTCGTTTCAAATTTGGAACCATAGTGATTGGAATTCCTGTGCCTTAGGGGAGCACCTAGGCATCAATCTTCCTTCAACAAACCTGAGTGAGTGGAAAGTTAGCTCTCGAGAGTGGCGCTACGGGGCCAGGAAAGTGGCTCCCAAATGCTAGGTAGGGTGCACAAGCTCAAGACCACGGCTTCGCTCGTTTCAAATTTGGAAATAGAGTGAATGGAATTTCTGCGCCTTAGGGGGGCATTTAGGCGCTAGTCTTCCTTCAGCAAACCCGAGCGAATGGAAATTCAACGCTTGGGGGTGGCGCTACAAGGCCAGGAGTGGGTTGCATGCAGTTAGGGATTTAAGTCACAAAGGATCAATTATACTCTCTTGTGGTGTAGACGGTGCATAACAGGTGCGGAGCGGCGTCTTTGTCGAGAAGGTGGATTTTGACAAGTGATTTCTCTTGTGAGACAAGTGAGGAAGGAGACTTAATTTTATAAGCTCCAGTGGTGTAGAGAGTGGATATGAGTGGTGTAATTTTGTGTTCTTCTCATTTTCATAGTGAAATTTTTATTGTGGCGTGACTGTGTTTTTTTCTCAATTCTCGGGGTTTTCCACGTTAAAGTTGTGTACTTTTTCTAAATTTTTGGTTGTGCGCTTTTGTTCAATTTATTATTTTGGATCTCTCGAGTTGTGTTTTTTGCGGTGTTATTTTGGTTGTGAATCGATCAATCACCAAGTTTCCATCTATGAAGCACAGACACGGGATACAAAAATGACATGACACAATACGAGGACACGACATAATTGAAATAAATAGGACACAATACATTAAACACATTTTTATATTTAATTAATTATTAGTATAAAATATATATTTTTTTCAATATTCTTTATTAAAAATATCACAACACAAATTATGTATGAATAAAATTTCACTTCATAAATTTAATTTATATTACAAAACATAATACTTATGAAAATGAATTTTTAAAATTAAATATAATATGCTTTAAAAGAATTATTCCAACTTATAATCCAACTTATCTATTAAAATTTTTAAAAATTCTATGATTACAAAAAAAGAATTACTAATGCTCGGTTTACACGAATCTTTGACGCATCTTCAATGCTCATTTTTGATAAATGTTAGAGGTAGCTTCAACATGATAATAGATGAGGCAATTTCAATTATGAAGAGTTATTAAAGCCATACATATATCTATAATTTTTTAATTGTGTCCCATTTTCTCGAAATCGTATTAAGCTCAAGTTCTATGTGGTGTTGAGGTGTGTCCTGGAAGTGGTCGGGCCTGAAAAAAAATTCAAACTTCTATTTTGTAATGTCGGAGAAGTGACGGGGCGTTTCAGACAAGTATTATTGTCTGATACGTGTTCGACACGGGTATGAAACATTTTTAGAAGTGTTGGTGCTACATATGTTTCATCCCCACAAGTAGTATCAAAGTGAGATTTTTTGAAGACTTTTGATTCAAGTGGGAGCAATGTCAAACGAAGCGAGGTACAATGTTGGGAAGTTCAATTGATCAAAATTTACGTTCTGGAAGATGCAAATGGAAGATCAAGTCCTATGTGATGTTGAGGTGTGTACCGGAAGTGTTCGGGCCTGAAAAAATTCAAACTTTTATTTTATAATGTCAAAGAAGTGACGGGGTGTTTAAGACAAGTATTATTGTCTGATACGTGATCGACACGGGTATGACATATTTTTAGAAGTGTTGGTGCTACGTATGTTTCATCCCCACAAGTAGTATCAAAGTGAGGTTTTTGGAAGAGTTTTGATTCAAGTGGGAGCAATGTCAAACGAAGCGAGGTACAATGTTGAGAAGTTCATTTGATCAAAATTTATTGTGGTGTTGAGGTGTGTCTCGAAAGTGTTCGGGCATGAAAAAAATTCAAACTTTTATTTTGTAATGTCGGAGAAGTGACAGTGTTTCAGACAAGTATTATTGTCTGATACGTGATCGACACGGGTATGACACATTTTTAAAAGTGTTGGTGCTATATATGTTTTTATCCCCACAAGTAGTATCAGAGTGAGGTTTTTTGAAGACTTTAGATTCAAGTGGGAGCAATGTCAAATGAAGCGAAGTATAATGTTGAGAAGTTCAATTGATCAAAATTTACGTTCTAGAAGATGCAAATGGAAAATTTGTTGTATCAAAAGAAACTGCATTGCCACTGAAAGGAATCACCAAAAATTTTGAATCAATGATTATCGAAAAATGAGAAGTGCATGATCGAACAACTCTATATTTGATTTGTCTTTCACTTTCTTAATCGGTTACTTTCAACGTAGTGAATGAGAAAACTATGGTTGATCTCACGTCGACACTGACAATGGTGTATGAAAAACTTTCAACGTTAAATAATATTTTTCTGATTAAGAGATTATTCAACATGAAGATAGTGAAATGTTGTTTGACAGCTAAACACTTGAATAATTTTGATAGTGTAACTAGGGCTGTCCAAACGGCTTGTTGTTCACGAACAACTTGTGTTCGACTTGTTAAACAGCTCATGTTTGGCTTATTTCTTAAGCTTAATGAGTTGAACACAAACAAATTTTTAAGCTCGAAAAAAAAACGAGCCAAGCATGAATAAATATTTGTTCGCTCTTGTTTGACTCGAAAAAAATAAAAAATAAAAAATAAAATAAAAATATAAATATACTTAATATTCCGCGATGTTATTGGTGTTATTCGGTAGTGTAAAACTGCAGAATAACACCCGAGTAACACCCATTGTGTTATCGGTGTTATTCCTCTGTCCGCGGTGTTATTAGTGTTATTTTGTGGTGTAACACCGCAGAATAACACCGATAACACTAATAATAGCGCGAAATAACACCAAGCAACACTCGTTGTGCTATCGATATTATTCCGTCGTCTGCGGTGTTATTGGTGTTATTTAGCGGTGTTTTTAGTGGTATCGATGTTATTCCACAGTGTTACACCGCCCATGAAATAACATCGTGGATTATTAACTATAAAGTATTATGTATATTATATAAAGCAAAAAAAAATTATATTTATGTTCGTACACCATTGTTATAAGTTTTTCTAGTTAGAAAATTTATAATAATTGTTCAT